TCTCTCTCTCTCTCTCTCTCTCTCTCTCTCTCTCTCTCTCTCTCTCTCTCTCTCTCTCTCTCTCTCTCTCTCTCTCCCTCTCTCCCTCTCCCTCTCTCTCTCTCGTTTTCTCTTCGCTAACTTATTCTCTTCCTCCCTCGACAATCCCCGCTGGAAAACTTGGCATGACCGGCACCGTTATCTATTCAATTTTCGCAAAGTTGGCGGAGTCGTTGCCAAGAAAGCCGACCGGTCGGTCGGTTGGTTGGTTGGTCGGTCGGTCGGTCGGTCGGCCGGCCGACCTTTTTGTCTTTTCTCGCCTCTCTCGCGAAAGAAAGATGATGGAAGTCGCTTACGGAAAGAGGGTGGAAGGATAAAAAAAGAAAGAAAGAAAGGAGAGACGCGCGCTTTCCCGCGCGGACTTCCTTGAGTTACTTATGGCGCGAGATAGCGGCGTAACGCGTTCCTGTCCGTCGGGGCGATTTTTCATTTCTTTCCACAGTGCCGTATTAGCGTTTAAACGTATGCCGCGCCGTTGATCTATCAACGCGTTGCGCGCCATACTCGTTGGCCTCTCAGCGCGAGGAAATTTTGTTCCCCGAGAAGTGAGCAGAGTGCAGAGCTCGCTTTGGACGATTTATAAATTTACGACAGCATCCAAGACAAGATCCTGTATATTTCTTATGGATACGTAGTTACGTGTGCATTCATACATGTACAATTAGGATCACTTGGATCTTCTTTGGTAGATAAAATTTGGAATTGTACTGTTAAGTTAAAGATCGTCCAAAGCAAACTGTGTACTCAATATTTACATTCACATATAATGATACATGAAAATCTTCCAGTTTCAATAATAGACTGGGAAATAGTTTTGATATCAGAGCACTCAGTGCATTGATGAAAGGAATGAAAACAGAAAGGTAAGATAATATCTGTGTTATTTGAGCCAATTTACATGGCATATATGTGAAATAAAGATAATTGAAATAACTAGCGTTAACAGCATGTGACAGAATATTTTTTATATTTATAGTACTGATATTTCTAAGTAGATTATGGGTTAATTATCAGGTATAGTTTCCATATAATTGTATAATTTAAAATAGAATCCATAATCTCGCTTACGATGCACCAGGATAAGGATCGACTCTGTTCTTTCGAAGAAGAAACTCAATCTTTCTGGCCATGTCTTCGGTGTAAATTGCTTTGCATTTCTCAAAGTTGATTCTGCGCCTGACCTGAGTTGGTTTCTCAAAATACCTGGTGCGTCTATATTGGCCTAAGATATCCTCCTTGTGCAATATTCGACTTAACATGTGACATGCCTTGTCCACATCGTTGTTCTGCACAAAAATGGTACGGCTGAGGAACTGAGCATGTCTGGCTAGACCCATCTGAGAAAGAAATGTCAGAAATAATTGTATTTTCATAGATTTCCCACTATTTTTTTTATTCTACATAAAGTTACGATTCGCCCCCACAAATATAGCTGTCACGTGGAAAAATACTTAGAATACATATTTATTAAGGTTATTATAATGCCGTGAAAATAAATAAAATGTCACATTGCATATTCACAAATTTAAAGTGGATGTTTCGTCGGATATCATTAATAATATTAATATTAATCAATATATTATCGAATATAATTAATGTTATTTATGCGCGCAAGATTCCGCTTATAGGTTAGGTGGCGAACTATCGACTGCAGCCGCATTATTCTCACTGATCCCGATAATTTCGCTACACTGTTCACATATTCACTAAGCAAGTAACTCTTCTTAATAACAGATATCTCGATAAATAATTGATTCACTCGTAAATTGACATACCTTTTACACTCGAAATTCCGCACGTAACTAAATACTTCCTTCGATGCAAAGCGATGCAAGTGGTGCCATCTAACAATAACGGAATGTTCTCTGCGGCTCAAAATGATACGAATGGTGCCATCTATTGACAACAAGTTCGCATAAATTCTAGTTTTTAATTTATCTGTTCTTTGCAGATGAATTCTCTGGCTGCACTAGTTCTCTTTCTCTCTTCTTTACACCAATGGTCTGTTCTTTTCAGCTGTACTGCTGAACTGGTGCAATAAGTTAGAGTGAGAAAACATATACTTGTCTCACTTTAACTTATTGCACCAGTTCAGCAGTGCAGCTGAAAAGAACAGACCACAAGTCACAGCTATATATCTGTTTCTTTTTAAGTACAGAAAGTGTGCACTAATTCAACTACGAAGAGCAAACCTAACGATAAACAAATGAGGATTATCATCCGCATCATAAAAAAAAATCCGAGTCCCGTAATTTACCGATATAACCTATTTTCTACGAGATTTTTTTATCATATTTATTTTTCAAATTTATCAATATATAAAATATATCGACGTAGGAAAACGCGCGGAAAAGATAATCTGAAGATGCGTTTTTTTATGGAAAAAGCTAAGAACAATAAATAAATAAATTTTAAAAAATCGCGAAAGAAACGATAAATTGAACTTTATCAAATACCTAATTATTCATTTCTGATGGATATTCGCAAAAGAACCGTACGTGCCCTAAGAAAAGCACATTTAAGAGGGTGATGATGAGAAAGTAGACCACCAGACAATGGACAACCTAGAATGTAACAAGAATCTATTTTTAGGGTTGTTTTTGCTTATGCGTGTCAGAGGCATGTTGGCAGGAAAATCTCGAAGTATGCGTAAAAGATGCACAAATTACTTCTTGGTCTTTTAGATTGAGACCGAATCCCCATCGGCATATGCAAAGCCAGATGCTCAATGATATCAAGAGCAAAGTGACGGCGAACGGCGAAGCGTATACGTGTACGATAAACATTTGTTCATGTCGCACTGCCTCTCATATATTCTCTGGTTCTCTTGGCGACACGTGCATATTTCCACGGGACGCTCTATCGTGTTCTATCCGTTTCATTGGACTCGCGATCGCTCAATGTATTTGAAATCTTGTTTACGTTTCATTTTGTTCGCTATTCTCTTCTCCTCGGAACGAATCGACCAGCCCTCGATTTTACGTGTCGTAAATATTGATGATGAGAGGAGAGGACAGCGTTAACGGATATTGCAGGCAGCTTTTAACGGGACTTCTCTCATAATATGCGCGATATTTTTACGTGAAATTTTGCAATACGTTGACAAGTCTCTGTCTGTACGTGTTTTTCTCGAAAATAACTGGGAATTTCGCGGAGAGGTGTGTGTGTATATCGCATATGCCAAGAGAAAACTGACAGTTTCGCGAGAAACTGATGCACTTCACAGGCAACAGCTAGCGGCGCAGAAAATAACGGCGCATATTATTGGATATGTCATCAGTTGCTTCGTTCTTTTCATGATAGCGTCAAAGTTCTGTTATTTCGAGGGTGCCTTTCGATTCCGCGCGAGATTGGCGATAATTGTTTGATCAATAACGCACTCTATTTTCCAGCGTGGCAACTGTCACAAGGCATCCTGACTGTCAAAGACATAGAGTTGTCCACGGGGAAATCCTTCTCCGTTATCGTTCAAGTGAGAGAAACTTGATGCTTCAAAATGCCGCCGAAGAAAAAAAGAGATACCGTGACGTTAGAATTGGATGCCATTGAGTAAGTCTTAATTAATCGACATCCATTATGACAGATATATCTTTGACTCGTTGACAAGATGATACATTCCGTTTTTACCAAGATAATCTCGATTTTTTACCCTTCTCGGATTTTTTCGAGTATTATTCGATTCCGGATTTGACCAAACCGTTTCGATTTATTCCGATTTGGAGAATTTTTTAAATATTTCTGACAGAGAAAGAGCTTTTAAAAAGAATTCACAACTCTGACAGTAGTTTTGTTTATTTTTCTTAATTTGAAACAAGAATATAACAACGGTTTTATCTGAGCAACAATTTCTGCTTTTACTTATGCAGCAGTTTTTCATTGGTGTTAAATTATTTTTCACATGTCTATAAAAATAAAATATTATTTCATATGTATTTATATATATATATATATATATATATATATATATATATATATATATATATATATATATATATATATATATATATATATATATATA